GAGGAGTCCGGAAGAGGGAGGGGAGGGGAGGGGAGGGGGATGTTTACGTCATGGGCGGGGTACGTTATGTGTACCCAATTGATCATTGGTTGGGAAGGGTTCGAGACTTTTCGCCGCGCAAGTGGTCGGTCTTCGTCTTCGTCCGCGGAAGTACTGTTCTTGTGTCCCCAAATGAGTGAGGAAACGCCCTTGGTCACGTTTTTGACGTACTTCTTGTGCCAGGAGCCGGTGGTAACAGTCGAGCTCGTAGAAGGGGACCACTCGGCTGCGGAAAGAGTTCCAGGCAAGGCCATTATTTCATCGGTTTAAAACAGCCCAAAAAGTGCGCCCGAACTCAAGGCAACCCGAACTTCCGGCAGCCCGAAGCCTAGGCAGCCCGAACAGCCTAGAGAGCCCGAACAGCCTAGAGAGCCCGAACAGCCTAGGCAGCCTCCTCCGCTAACCAGGCCTTGGCCGCCGCCTCCGCCTCCGCCAACTGGCTAGTCTCCACCCGAGCGGGCTTCCCGTCCTGCAGCACCATCATTTCCAGAACCATCGACTTCTCTCGCGAGTTCTACAACACACACATCGTACCACACACAGAACACAGATCAAACACACAGATCGTATGTATCACGATGCACCGTACCACACACAGACCGTACAACATGTACTCGTGAACGGCGAGGGGAGAGGAGGGGATTGGGAGGCGTACATCTTCGTGGTGTTTATGTAAGAGTTTAGCGAATTCTTGGACGCCCTGGCGGACAGTCATGTTGGGCATGTCTATGTTTTCGAGGTCGGTCTTCGCTCCGGCGGCGCCTTTGCCCTGGCAGTTGCCTCTATATTTATAGGCGGCACCGGTGGGGTCGATAAGCCAGAGACACCAGTCAGCTTGTTCAGGTTCCTTGGCGAGTATTCCGTGTTGGTCGACAGCCTTGTCGGTGGTGGCCATGACGGCCGCGCCTGCACCGACGAACGGTTGGCGTTGCCGTTGTTCGTGTACGGCGATCATTAAGGAGGCACCGACAGGCCGCGTGGACCAGACAGCAGTAAAGCCGTGGACGTAGACACCAACTCTGTCGGCAAGGATACTGCCTGGGATCGGGACACCCCAGACCCGTTGGTATTGTGCGCACTCCTCACGACAATGGTCAATTAAGTTTTTGCCGTCCGGAAGCGACCCCGTAACGATTGCACACGCGTGTGCAGCCAGTTTAAATAACCTCGTCCGCGGTGCCGCCAATGGGGAGAGCACCCAATTCTCCGAACCTAGCACTACACCGTCCTTAAATATACCCGCAACCGACAAGGCACCGTTACCAACCGCCTTACACGCATACTCCACTTGAAACACTTTCCCATCCGGGCTGAACGTCGACACAGACAAGTCGTACCCAGACGCCATTTTTTTTACAAAATCAAAAGCCAAAGTTAGAATACCACAACCAAAACCTCCACGCAGAATTAACGGCAGAATGAACATGCCGAATTAAGAGTTAATTGCAAGCAGCTATCTAAAGTTCTATAGACCTAAGTTAAATAAATAATGGTGGTGTGCCAGGTTCTAGGGAATGCACCATCCGAGATGGAAACAGCCACCAGCCCTGATCCTTGCTAAATATTGCTAAATACAAACCATTCGCTAAATAGTATTTGAATCCGATCATTGTAAAGTACCGATCATTGGCACCAAGTGGCCGTCGTTGATATGTTGGCCGCAGTAGAGTCATTGTGCAATACGGTGCAGTCGGTCATTGTTCATTTCTGATATTACCATTCATTTCGGAATGTGTGCGCGTAGAGAGTGTGTGCGCGTAGAGAGTGTGTGCGCGTAGAGAGTGTGTGCGCGTAGAGAGTGTGTGCGCGTAGAGAGTGTGTGCGCGTAGAGAGTGTGTGCGCGTAGAGCAGTCAGTTGTTGACGTTGATGATGATGGAAGACGGTCTGGTCTTGAGTCGACGGCTGGCGGCGCTCCAGCTGTTCCTGGCATGGTGGAGTGAGCGTTCATCGGTTTTAGAGCACACGTGTGTGATGCCGCCTTGGATTGCATCGCATTGTGGTGTAGTGTCTCTTTGGGCTGCAGCGAGGCCGAGGAGGCCGCCGATCCAGATGAGATTGGTCCAGGAGAGGAGGAAGGCGATAAGTTTGATAAGATTGTTACGTTCGTGGCGGCAGATCATCCTAGTAAGTGTGGGGTTGACACAGCCGGGTGCCCAGCGGTCTTTGAGGAAGCCGATGAGGATGGGGCCGGGCACGTCTCCGATAAGGTGGATACCAAGCGTGTATAGTCCTAAGCCAAACGAACGTTCCTTCTCCGCGCAGGCGCTCATCACACCCAAGTTGAGCGATGACTGAACCATACACACCACCAGTAACCCACCTGCCAAAGTCAACATAGCCAAGTCCGCGCGGTCGCTGTAAAGGAACCAAGGCGACGTCAGACTAACCACACAACCAAAGAACCCAAACGCACTAATGATCGCCGTACACGCAAACGGCGTCTGCTGCCGGACCAACTCCTCCACTGCTGCCGATTCGGCCCGAGCACGAGCACGGTCATTAGCACGGTCATGAGCATGAGCATGAGCACGAGCACTCACCGGCCGGGAAGGGACAGCACAGTGAGAGACTTCACAGGGAGATACACACCCTGTACGATTCGGCGACCTCCGGTTCGGCGACCTCCGGTTTGGCGACCGCTGAGTCTGTCCCCCGTCCGGTGACTCCAGGGCCGGGGAACAGATTAGTTGGACCGCACTGGTCCGCCGATGGAAGTCCAAGACGAGCTGACACACGTAGCCTCCTGCTAAGGTTCCCACCGAGCCCACCAGTACGGCCACTCCACCCATGGCCGAAGCCGCCTTGAGTTCTGTGGAGAAGATCTCCAGTGCCGTTAAGAAGGAGGTCCCGAAAGCTGAGAGAGTCGCAGTTACCGCTGCCTGTGCCGCACCCGCAACCAAAATGCAGCCAAATAACCAGTAGTTCATCCGAGCAGATTTGGGGGAACCGCTCGTTACAGGACCAACGACAGAATCCAGCTCCTCCTCATCATCACACAGCCGCGCCGTCAAGGCCACGGCCGTCTTCTCATCCGCCAGTCGCTCGCAAGAATCCTTCCAGGATGCACGCACACCCTCGTCTCCCGGACGCCAGCTGGCTGCGAATTCCGTCGAATTCGCGTCCGTTGAATTCACGTCTAAACTTTCTTGTAACGCCACTCGCCCAGGGAGGTCTTGACCCGAAGAAAGGTCGGGTACCCAAGGAAGGTCCGCTTCGGCGTAGCTGGTGGTCCTCGCCACAGGGTCGCCTGACCCCCGGCCGGGGTTGGTTCTAGTGCGGCGATGTTCAGCTGCCAGCAGAAGTCCCAAGTCCCGGGCCCCTCCACTCCGGCTGCGTTCGTGCGCAGTACTTCCACGGGCTTGTGGGCTGTCCTGCCTCGAGCGCAAGCCGCCAGACCGCAAGCCGTTAGATCGGAGGTCGCTGGCCCTTATGTCTTGTTCTACGTCGTTGGGTGGCGCGTCATTTTGAATTGAGCCATTGCTGCTCATTGCCGGACCATTACTCATCGAGTGCCCGGAATGGGACTGTCCGGGGGACTGCCCGGAGTGGCCAGAATGAGTTTGGTTAGGCCGTCTGGTTGCGACTTGGGTGGCTGAGAGCCTTTGCGTGCCTAGTGCATTGTAGACGCGGTCTAGTCTGGGGGATTGGTCGAGACGTGGCGAGGGCCAAGCAGGGGGTGACTTGGGTAGAGCGACTTGCCAAGTGGGGGCTGCCTTGGAAACATCAGCTTTGACCTTCCACGGTGAGGCACCATGAGCGGCGGGGAGTTTGCTTATCTCCAAGGCGGCTGCGACGGGCGCCATGGCGAGGACAGCGATGAAGAGGAAGGCTGAGGGAAACGAAAGTCCGATGAGCGGGAGGGCCGAACTCAGGACGTACCCACAACTCACACCCAGAGGCATCAACGCGTAGAAGATGCCCAGGAACACGCCCTTCGACGCCGGGGGCTGCGCGTCCACCAGCACCGGCGTCAACAACGTGGCAAAGGCCGCCTCGCCCACACCAGACAAACCGCGGAAGAAAAATAGCAAGTTCAAAGCGCCCATGTGACCGGCGATAAAACAGCCGTACACTGCAACAGATGGTGGTAGTGGGGAGGGGGGGAGGTGATCTTGCGCGAAGGAGGGGAGGTGATCGTGCCGAAGGGGGGGAGGTGGGCGTGCGCGAAGGAGGGGAGGTGATCGTGCCGAAGGGGGGGAGGTGGGCGTGCTCGAAGGGGGGGAGGTGGTCGTGCCCGAAGGGGGGGAAGTGGTCGTTCCCGAACCGGTGGGGGGGGCCCGTAGTCGGGTGGCGCTTACTGGAGACGACCCAAACAATGAGACCACCAGCGACGAATTGTAGCACTCGTTCAGTGCGGATGGACAGGTGGCTGAGGACAGGTGCGGAGAGGGCGAGGCCGGCAATGAAGATGGATTGTAGCACGCCGAAGAAGAGTTCCGGATTCCGGTGGTAGGTCTCGTGCTTCAGTAGGCTATTGATAACTTCCTGGTGGAGTCCCGGAAGGACGCCGCGGTCGAAGTAGATGAGGAAGTCCACCAACAGAAACAGACCGGACACCCACCGTATGTTGTGGAAGAGGAAGCCAGCAAGCATACTTGCTCGGCACCAATTTAGTTAGTTCTACACCGCCCAAAAGATTTTACGGTGAAGGTGGATCACCCCAGGAGGAGAAGACGGATCCAAGTTGGGTGGATGAGAGGGACTCCTGTCATGGAGCTCCGGCGGGGCGCAAAGCTGAGCTGAGCTGAGCTGAGCTGAGGGGTGTGCGGTGACGTGGTTCGGACTTGGGGGGTCTCTGACGAAAAATCGGTACAGCAGCCCGCCACATCTTGGCGCCGTGGAGCAGTGGTGATATGGGATTTGAGGGAGATAGGCAGGGAAGCAGGCAGGTAGGTATGTGTGCAAACAAAATCGAACGCGGCTCGCGCGCTAAAACTCGCCAACAAGCAGCGACAACCACACCTGCATTTAAATCAATTGGATTTAACGGCTTGGACTCAACGGCTTGGACTCAATGGCTTGGATTTGAATGAGATTGGTCCATAGACTTAGGTCCAGAGACCTAGCTCTCTATAGACCTAGGACCAGGGTCTATGAACCAGGGTCTATGAACCAGGGTCCATGGACCAGGGTCTATGGATCAGGGTCTATGGATCAGGGTCTACGATTGGGGGTCTACGGACCTGGGTGTGGAGACCTGGTTGTTATGCTCCAGGTCATTACAACCAGGTGAATATGGGACGCACGTCCTAACTATTGGGAGAACCTGGTTTGGTGTGTAGTGGTGTTAAAGAGGCCGTAGTCAGAGCGTTGAGCGAGGTTTTCGTCCGAGACCCGTTTTCTCCTGTCTTTGATGAAGGCGACAGTTGCTACTGCTTGTTGGAAATCTTTGATGCCTGCAGCGTCAGGGAAGGCGATCCAAACGTGTTTATCTGGTTGATCGAATGAGTCGAGGTAGGTCATTTTGATTGCATCACCGTTGAGTACAGATACTTCAACGGGGACGACGCTGTCTGAAGAAGCGAAAATTCGTTGAGAGTAATTGGAATAGTCAATGACAGTACGCATAACACCACCATCCTTATCACTGATGATCAGGTCAGGACCGTACGGGTGGAGCCAGAGACGTAAATGCTTCCGTTTCCAGACCATTTTCGCTGTAGACCAGAATGTGACCCAGAGGAGGACTTCCGTCTTCCAGAAACGAGCGACAGCGCGAGAAGTTACAAGTCTGTGTGAAGCGTCATCCAGTATTTTGCTGTACTTGTCTTGACGACGCTCGAAGTCGGGTAGGCTCGCTAAACATTTCGCACGGCGTCTTCCATTCATTACGCTTGGAGGTGGCAACACGTCGGGCCGAATGTACGTTGCGAGTGAAAAGTTTTGGCGTGCACTGGCGTGCTCCGAGCTCAGTGCACGTCGTACCACCAAGACCGCTCGTTGTAGCGTTCCCGCCTCTTCACGGGATTGCGTTCTGAACCATGCTGGTAGTCGCAGGTTGTGGAACGAGCACATTGTGCCCGCGTTTTCCTCCAACTCGCTCTGCAAGCTTGTTGAGAGGCCGTATTCCGCGAACGCCTTTCCTATCAAACCACTATCCACGTGCGGTTCCACCACCGGGTCCGGCAGCATCAGGCGACACTTGTTGTCTTGTATATTTTCCACCCGGAAAACGGGAGCCTTCGGACTCACAGTCACACGGACCGGGAAGGTCTCCAGGTCCCGCTTATTCGCCTTCAACAGCGTGGTCATACTCTTAGCTTCGAAACCGCCCTCCCTCAAAAACGGTTTCATCACATTGGGATCAATCATTTCAGCATTTGCAGCAGTCACCAACCATTCGGGAATTTCCACGTCCTCCGAACTGGAGGAGGACGAACTCGACTCACTAGGCGGAATCTCAGGCTCAGGCTCACGCGGAAACACCACTGGTGGCGGCAAACTCTCGCTACTGTCGCTCTGCGGATACTCCATAGACGGCTGCACTGAAGCCATCGACTCACTCGGCGCACGCACCATTTCGTGGTAACTTTCGCTTTCGCTCGCCAAACTAATGTACCGTGCCCGACGCTCCGGGAACCAGACCTGTTCTGTTACCGGCTCAACAGGTACATACACCGCTAACCGTGAACCTTCATAATCATGTACATAATTCATCAACTCCATGTTCTCTGACTCGTCCACAGAAAGGTCTTGATTCGCTCGCGCATACTGAGGCGCCTTTCGCACCGGAGACGCCTCATACGTCGATGGACTAACCTAAACATCTCACACCTTTTGCACACGTGTTTACACACGTGTTCACACACGTGTGTGGTTGTGCACACAAGCGCGACGGCCGGCTGCTTACCTGCTTCGGCTGGAACCCCAAAGATATTGTCGAGTCACTTGTCTTTCTCTGTTTCTCCTCCCTAATTGCTAAGATAAGATTGTCACCACGATCGGGGTCAAATAAGCAGACGGCTGTGTCGGGAGACCGCTGTCTCCCTTCATAAAAGGCGTCCGTCCAAAGTAGTGCCCCGTCCAAAGTAGTGCCCCGTCCAAAGTAGTGCCCCGTCCAAAGTAGTGCCCCGTCCAAAGTAGTGCCCCGTGTCGACGACCATGGGCGGTGGATCGACCATTGGAACTTAGGACCCTGGTCGCGACCATGAAGGTATGTGTATTACCTTTTCTCCTGGAAGCGATGTTTGGACTTCTATAGCGTTTGTCGGACTCCGAGGCAGACGAGCTGGAGTCGACTGAGTACGAACTCAGATCGGTAAGGGCGCTCGAGGACATAGACGAAAAATAGGTGTTTTCTTCCGCCGACATCCGGCAATAAAATTCTCGCACACTTCATGGACGTGGAGGTCACCAGACGCGACCTGTTGGATGACGATGATGACCTCTGCGAGTCGTCGCCCAGTCCGGTGACGACGGGTAGCCGGGTTGTACCGGATGACGGATCGAACAACTTGGACTTGGACTGGCTATTGCAAAGTAACAAGCCGGTACAGAGTGAGATGGTGCTGGAGATTCCCTCAGGAGATGTAGGAAACCCTGTCTCGCCCAGCAGTGCTTCCCCCATGGGGGGCGCTTCCTCCAGAGGCGGCGGGTCCTCCGGAAGTGGAATGCTTCATGACGGTTTTGAAGAGGCGACGGATAAAGAGACTGATCGGTTCGGCGAAATTCCCCGGCTGAAGGATTACCCGGAGTCGCAGACGTACCGCGCGACTCCGGCAATGGCCTCTTGCAGTCTGGAGGCACAGGAGAAGGTGTCCATTTTCATTTTACACAACGGCGAATGTTCAGTGGTGAGTTGGTTCGGTGACACGGCGCCGCAAGATGTGCAACAGGCGGTGTTGTGCGCCTGTGATTGCATGCTTGATTCGGGCATCGAGTTGCTCGAGTTGCGGAGACTTCGTGACGACCAGCAATTGAAAGAGTTGCGAGAAAAAGGTGAGGCCCGGCTTGGTGGTCAACTACTTCACGTGCAGTATGGTCCCGAAATGAGCTGGTACCTTCGTGGCCGTCGACTCGAATTTGAGGACTTCGGTCACAGCCTCGTCAACGGACAGCTCTACCTACTGCAACCGGCACGACAACGAGACGAACTCTCCGTCATTACCGGACACCGCTACCGACGACTCCTGGTGGAAATCCCACCACTCCGACATGTAGAGGCGACACGAGCTGTACGCAAAATGAGACTGGGAACCAACCTACTACGGACCACTAGTTTAGAAGACAGACACCTACGCTTCTTCCAACTCTCCGGAGACCTGCGTCGACTAATATGGTACTCCGGAAAGAAATGCAGCGCCGACACAACACGTACGTCTTCTACACGTTTCCTTACAATGCACGTGTGTTATTCCTTCCCTTTGTGTTAACCCATCTGCTGACCCACACGTGTTTCTTCCTCTAGTGGACTTGTCAGATGTTACCGAGATTGTGGTCTCGTCGCAGCCGACACTGCCGGAAGTGTTCAAGCCCTTGGCTTTCGGCGTTGTAACAAAGAAAGGACAAGAGCAACTCTGCGCCAAAAGTAAGCACTACGGGCATCTTACTCACTCGTGCCAGAAACTGACTGGTTACCAAGGGGGGCCGGGTTTGGACTGTGGTCTTGTAGACGAGAATGAATTTGACGTGTGGGTGACGGGATTGAAGGCGTTGGCTGCGCACTTGAAAGGCATGCGGATGAACAAGATGCAGTTGTTGAGTCACAGTCGTCGGTTTCGGACGATGGTGGAGCGTAATGACTTCCAGAGCCGGCCAGACGCGTTACCGCCGGTCACGACCGCGGACCTGGCGATGATTGTTCCTCAGGACCTGGTCACCCGGGCTGCGGCAGTGCAGCGGTACAACTCGCTTTCGCAGATGCTGGAGGCGATGGAGGGGAAAGTGGAAGAAATCGACTATCCCGCACTTGCTACGCGTGGTGCGGGCCAGACCGATCGTTCTGCGGAGAGCGCCACACAGAGTGGCTCGGCGTCGCCAGGGTTTGCGGATGAGTTGTCGCGGCTGTTCGAAGAGGAGAATGATTTCCAGATGGAGTACAAACAAATGAAGCACCTTCTGGTGACCACGCGGACGCTGCTGCAAGAAGTCAAACACGACCTGGACGCGCAACTGCAGCGTGGCGAAGTTACAGAAAACGTGAATGGAGAACCCGTGATTAAAGTCTGGGCGCGGAAACTGTGGATCGCCAACGTCGACATTGAAAACGTAAGGCACGTCCCCGCGCACACTACCCCTCTGTCCGACCCTGTCCGTACATATACCCTGTCGCCACAACATGTGCCTGTTAGATACGAGATATGTACTATCGGCTAACGAATGACTCTCCGCCTATAAGTTTGCATAAGGCAATTTCGGACATCCAGAAACAGCTGGAGGATGGCAAGGATAAACTGAGCAAGACGTGGCAGCAGCTGTTGGTGGGAGCCTCCTCGGTGGTCACGCCGGCGGTCCAGAAGCTCAAGCAGATGGCAGAGGCCGCAGCCCAAGAACAAGAGCGAGCCACGACACCTCAGATGGCGAAGCAACCAAGAAACTCCTTTCAAGAAGGATCCCCTCAGGAAGGCTCCCCTCAAGGAGGAAATCCACCTAAAAGAGGGAATTCACCTCAAAGAGGGGATTTACCTCAAAAAGGGGATTCACCTCAAAGAGGGGATTCAGTTCAAGGAAGAGGAGACCCGTTTCGAGCAGGGGGTGTCATCGCAGAGACGTACATAACAGACGGGCAGAACATTGAACACTCGGGGAACGAACACGCATTGGAAGAACCGCCTGCCCCGTCACCCGTTCCACTAGATATCATTACATCTTAGATAGGTCGGGTGTCGGAATTAATATTGGTCATGGCTGCTATTAGAATTGATATTAGAATTGAGCACACCTCATGCTGCGATGGCAGTTTACTCGCTTGAGGCTTAGGCTGAACAAGCAACCATTTTTTTAGGCCGAGGAGGAGGAGGAGGTGCCACGCAGGTATGTCGATCAAGCAGTGTGTGCGAGGTGTGTGCTAACCCGAGCTCTTTACGCCTCCTGTTGACCGCATGCATTAGGTAGCGTTTGGCAGCTCTGTGCTGTTCTTTTGTGAGTGGTTGTGCTTCATGGTTAGTAATTTTGAAGACCTTGGCAGGCGGTTTGGGAGAGATGGTGGTGCCAGCGAATCGGTATGGCTTATGGCCCAGTCTTCTTTTGTTGGCAAGCTGATTGCCAGTAAGAGTAATGTGGAGGTCTCCATTGGGCAGTATTTTGGGAGCATATTGTCTCAGAAGAGCACTTGAATTTTTGGAAGTCTTGTTATGCGGTTCTAAAGAAGAAGAAGAAGAAGGAGCGTCCACGGGGGTTGAGGGCGCGTGGGGAGTGTCCCAATCGTCGTCGTTGAGCAGAACATCGTCGATAAGTTCCCACTCCTGTTCGTTCAGCATCAATTCCAGTTCTGTAAGGACATGAGGGGGCAGTTTGATTTCCCTGAAGCTAGTGGTGTAATCGTAGTACGGCGCATACTCCAGCAGTTGTTCCTCGTACAGCATACCGACTCTCTGATGTCCCGCATTTGCCATGTGCGTTTGCACACCGTTCAAACTATAAAACTCCTTACCGCAATACAAACAGGTAAAGGAACTATAGACTTTGGAACCAAGAAGGCGCAAAAATCCCTCACCGTCGAAGCAATACGCCTCTTCCGGATATCGAAACGAAAATCGCGTCTTCATATACTCCATTACTCCAAGGTAACTGCTTGCAACCGTCTTGTCAAACAAACACATGCTACTGCTATACGGAATCGGACTCTGCTTCACTCTAGGACAACTATTCGGCACCACCCGGGCCTCCTCGGCTAGACCGCTTTCGGACGATGCTGCAGACACTGGCCGTCTGTGCGCTACAGACCGTGCGTGCTCGTGTTTGCAGATCTCTGCGAATTCCGCCTCCGATACCGGATCCAAGTCAGCGATGCGCCGCTTTAGATTGTACGAATGGCAGTCTGTCCTCAGGTGCTGTGCTTGCACCTCCCGGCTCTCGAACTGCAGACAACAAGGAACACACTATCAGAACAACATACTACCGGAACAATGCGCGAAGTGCTGGACGCAAGCACACACTGCCGGAATTGGCCAGAATGGGGCCGGGCTGGCTGGTGGGGCCGGTTTGTGTGTGGTGGGCTGGTGTAAGGGCCGGAATACTACACTATGTGCGCACGCTTCTGCTACATACGTGGTGTGCTGCACATACGATGTGCTCACACGGCGTACTGCACACGTGCGCGCCGGTGTGCAACCGCGCGTGTGTGTTGGAGGAATAACTGGGTCCGTGCAAGTGCATCCGCGCAACTACGTCTGTGCAGGTGTTTCGTACGGCAAACATAGCCGGGGCAGCTATTGGGGTCTTCGGATATATTCTACTAGCGTTTTAAAAAAGGGGTTCTCCAGCAGGGCTGGGTCGGTCACTGGCTCTTGATTAAACAAAACGCCCCAGATGGTCTGGGTTTCCGTCTCCGCTAGTTGGGTCATGTAGACACTCACACGGTCGCGAGTAGATTCATCGGCGATCAGGCTCTTGAGGGCCGCCAGGAACTGCTCCATTAACTCGTCCACTTCCTTAATGCCCATGTGCGTCAAGCGGTACTTAGACCGCTTCCACTCCAGGCTCTCCGGTACATGACAACATGAGCGAACCGCAGCCGTAAATTCGCGGGGTGCGCGATCTGGATGTGGTTCACGACATTGTAGACTCGAACTGTGAGCGGTCTGACCCCTCAGCTGCGGACGGGGTGCCTGGCACAAAATGGGACTCGGCTTGGTCAACAACATTCGGTCAAAAAACCACCGCTGCTGACTAAGAAACTCGTCCCCCAGTACGGGCGCTCAACCACCGAGCACTCGCCCCCAGTACGAGTGCTCTACCACCGACCCCACCGATCGTCCTACCCACCCAGTCGCCTTACCCAGCTGGCTGAATCCAGTCGGTCATCTTATTGCACCAGCGACCCCGGAGGCGGCGGCACGGGCGGTTGGGGGTCTATGGAGCGGGGAGAACGTCGCTCCACGTACAGCAGCGTTGAGGGCTGAGAGTTAGAGAGACTTGCGGGAGCGAATGTTGTGGTCGTTGGACCGAAGGAAGTGGTCCGGGCGACGGGGGTGGTCGGACCGGCGGCTGTTGGGGACGTCGTGGTAGCGGAGGTTGTGGTGGCGGGCACCGCGGTGATGGCCGAGGGTGGCATGTAGCGCAGCGGTTGGGACATTATACGACTGTGTGTCTGATTGGGAGCATCGTCCACCTGGACGTAATCGACTTGGTGCGTCACGGCTGGCCTCAGCGGCTCACGCTCGAGCGTGTACCTGCGTTCCCGGCGCTGGAGACCGTGCCGCACGCGGTGTTTGCGCGACCCATGACCGCCTTGCCGGTAGTCCTCCCGTTCGCGGCCAAAGGACGAGTCCTCGGCATATCGCAGGTCCCGCCGGCGGTCCTGGTGGTGGTCCCGATGGTCGCGGAGGTTTGGTCCAGGGCCGTACGGGTCGTGGCTGGAGGCGAGGGCCGGGGGAGAGAAGACTGCGCGCGGTGGCGCCTCGTGCAGGTCTTCGTAGCCGCTGTTTACGTTGCAGCACAGCGCAGGCGAAGCTTTTCGAGGTCGGCCGGGCAGGGCCCCGTAGTGGGTGCACGGCTCTTGCGGGAAGCAGCGGTGTGGGCCAAGCCCCATGGCCGGGTTCGGGCAATGCGGACCCGGGCCGTGCGCTCCATGGGGATGGGGACTGGGTCCATGGAGATGTGGACTGGATCCATGGAGATTGGGACTGGGTCCATGGAGATGTGGACTGGGTCCATGGAGATTGGGACTGGGTCCTTGGGGATGGGGGCCGTAGGCGTAAGCGGCGTGGTGGTTGGGGTGAATGAACATGGGTCTTTGGCAGACGGGGTTTCGGCAGCGCGCGTCTCCACAGACGGGTAGCGGCATCATTGGTTCACGGCGATACTGGTCGAGGTGTGCGCACCGAGGGTCGAAGGGCATGGGATAGTCGCGCATGGGTGGGTCTTCAGGCACAGCGGTGACAAGATCGGTTATTTTATTCTTTAGTGTACGCCCAATCGTACGTAGCGCGTTCGGTTGCACGCGGATGTCCACGTCCTGCAATTGCACCGTCACTACGCCTGGCATCGCGGTGTACGACATGCTCAGCGAACCTATCTGGCCACCCACTACACGTAAGTCCGTGTCGTTCTCCGCCAACAGCCGGTTAATGCTCTCAGGACGTACCACCAAATCCTTCACCACCAACCCGTCCACAAACGACAACTGAATCCCGTCCTCGTCCAACGCTACAAGAACAGGTATATGACAACAGAATATTGCGACCAGAAGGCAAGAATCGGAATGTACAGAATCGGAATGTACGGACCCAAAAACTCGGGTCAGAGGGAGAAACCGAAGCGGCATAGTAACGACCGTAATAACAGTCGTAATAACAGTCGTGATAACAGTCGTGATACCAGTCGTAAGGATGGCCGGATTAACAAGGGCAGAGCTTAACAAGGGCAGACGTAGAAAATTCGGGGAACATAGCAGCCTTAAAGACACCGCTCACAACCATCTGGGGCCGCGCTGCGATAACTATTTGGGATAGCCAGACATCTTCATCCGCAATAGAGCTTGCACTTACGTTCGCAGAAAGCCTTCAAGAAGTGGTTGAACGACTGCTTCAGAACCCAATCCATTTTCTTGGAATAATTCGTCCAGGTGCAGGGAGGGGCAGTGCACCCCCCAACAGGGGCATCGTCGACCTTTTAAGCAAACCAACGGCGTGGTAGACCGGCGCGGCAATGGCGCGCAGGTTCTTCAGCTTAGCGGTAATCCATCGGTGGTTCCACTGAGAGCACGGACTAGGGGGAGCACGGACTAGTGGGAGCGCGGAGTGAGTGACAGCGCGTTTGAGCACTATATGAAGCGGGCGCGGACGTGTCGGAACAGGGTGGATGCTGAGCAGACGGCTGTAACCGCATCCGGGCAGAACATGGGTAAATGCAGAAGGTGATCTGAATGCTCGACGAAGATTTGTTTGGAATTGGTATGCCACCTATGCGGGCTAAAAAAATGGGAAAAGAAGAATTGCCGGGTAACTCGGAGCCGGGGGCGGCACAACAACCTCAGTTTACCCCAGAAGAACTGAAGGGGGAGGTGACAGAGAAGGCCAAGAGCACGGGCGTTATTTACTTGTCTTCGGTGCCTGCCGGAATAAAACCCTGGCAGGTCGAGACTTTACTCTCGTCGATGGGCGATATCGGAAGAGTTTTCCTCAGACCGAATGAGAAAAAACCGGGATTGTATCGAGATGGCTGGGTGGAATTCCTGAACAAGAAAAACGCCAAGGTTTGTGCAGAACTCTTAAATACTCAACCAATAAACGATAAGAAGCTCTCTGGTGCCCTATGGAACATTCGCTACCTGCACCGGTTCAAGTGGCAGGACTTGGTAGGTTACCGGTTTATGGAGGCTTTCACCAAGAAGAAACGATTAGAGAGCGAAATATCCTCACGGAATCGGTCCACTCAAGACTACATTGAGAGGGTCGTCATGAAAAAAGAAGGCAAGAAACGGGCTTTAAGAGCCCGGAAACGCCGTGAAGACCAACGTGCGCTGAAAAACGGCGCGGAGTAACGCACGCGCACACGTGTGTGCACACGCTATTTCCGACCTGGGGATTTACGGGGGAATTTACATTCTATACAGACGACGAATTGTTACTTGCTGAAAATGGGTTCACGAGTTGCGGCTCGGTGCAAGACATCTGTGATGCGGCGCAAGACAACTGTACTGCAGCACAGGAAGTGTGACATAGGAAGTAATTACGGCCAAATTTGTTTCTAACGGCCAGCGCGTCATTCGGTGAAAGTGCGACAGTGAGCAAGGTTTGGAATATGGGTTCTTCTTCTCTCATTGGTGTGTCGTCCTCGTCGGAGACTTGTCCTTGGTCTTCTTGTTGGATGACGTTTATTGCGCGTTTTACGTATTGACTGAGCAGTCGGAAAGGTTCAGTGCCTTCTTGTTCGAACGTAGATGCAATCGCCTGCAAGCAGTCGGTGTCCCGGTCTACTGCTTTGATCAGTCGAGCGAAAAAGCCCTTCAGCTTCTCAGGGAAGACAGAATCTTTGGTTCGCTTCCTCGCTGCAGTGTAGCTGGATCCAATCTGCCTCCGAAACTCAGACTTCGCTGGTCCCGCTACTATATAGTCTAGCTCGCCTGAGCCACCGGTGATAGATGTAGTTGTCGAGCTCATCAAGGCAAGCTCATCACTGTTTTCTGCCAATTGACATACAACCACATCTGAATATATACTTATTACAACAGGGGACGAGGGTATTACAAGCCGGGGAGGTAGAGTCTGCTACTGGGATGATGTTGGGAGTAGTTTACCTTGTAGAGTCCATTCGCCTTGGTGCATGGTTGGGGTAAGGATGTCTTGGCAGATTTGGCATAAGAAGTCGCATTCATTCCGCAGTGTTTCGCAGTAAACCATAGTCCGGAAGGGCAGGGTCCTTATGGGGAGGACGGGGTCTTCCGATTTCTCTTGCCAGAGTGTAAGAACGTTAGGAAACATTTGCTGTAATGTTTCGTTGACGACCCGGGTCACTGCCTGTTGGGTATAGACTTCTAGCCAGGGCCGCAGCGGCGCTGTGGGGGCAGTGGCGGTGCCTTGCCAAGCTCAGCAGTTGCGGTAGTACATGGGCTGTGCGAATGAAGTGCATTTGATGTGTGTGCG